AGAAAGACTCACCTGTCAACCGGGAGAAGATGGATGACCGCGAACGAGCGTAGATAACAGGTGGTAACGAGGACCCAGGACGGAAACATAGCCCCCCCCCTTCGCTCCACCACTCAGAAAAGTCAAAGAACAACGCGATAAGACCTCAAGATCTGTGCAGTATGCGGCGAAGCAGGGATTCTCCCTCCTGATAATCTGAGTTTAGCGGCATCATCAAAGAGAGACATTGGCTGTACTGGCTCGTAAATGAATAAATCCAATCCTGCGAAAATTTTAACCGTGACAAAGGATACGAACTCTGCGCAGATTGGATGAGCCTCGTTGCCACTGTCGCACTAAAACTATTTAACCAGCGGCACGGACCGGAAGCATGCCTTCTGATTCTGAATCCATCGACTCCTGCGGACGACCAACCACTTTCACAAAACTTTACTACCAACCTACTTTGAAATAGTCCCTTGAGACACAGGCCCAGAAGTCAGTATAGGTCAGTTACCAGACTGACCATGGTATCTTCTGCGCTGCGTATGAGTGGACAGTGTTTTACGCTATTTTTTCGACATTAAAATAGTGACTTGAACACTTGATTGCTCTAATAAAGGCAAGAGCACCGACGACCGACCGACACTATAAACAGTGCGTTTAGCATACGTTTCTAAGGTTTAAGGTTTTCTCCTCGAGGAGACGAATTTCTCTATTCTGGTCGATTTTGCAGCTATTGTTCGATGGCCCATCACTGTTGATCCTGTATTATCAAGATCTTCAGTTTGCTTAATACTAGTATACATGTCGTTGCACAGTAATGAAGAGGGTGAACACGAGGAGGAGGCTTTCACCGAGCTTCACGGCACTGGTTACGACTAAATTGGCAAGCTGCATTGTGAGGGCCTTATGCCTGATTCACAAAGGTTGACTAGCAAGTGACCGATGCGGCCTTTCAAGCCATCGTAATAGGCTGCATCTGCGTAGAGAAGCAACAACATCATCCAGCCTTGTCCGCGGAACTTCAAGGTTTTGTCTTTTGCCTCACTCCAGACGTTACATTTGTCTGAGAAACAAAAGAAGCCTTATGAATTTTGCCGCCATGGATGAAACTCGTGACTCCCAAGAACAGCATTTATGTATTTTGATGCTAAGATATTTCACCTCGAGACCGCCTGTGAAAGACGTCATATTTCCGCCGGTGAGCCGTCGATTGGTCACTGGTTCATAGGGTATAGGTCCTTGTTCGACATCCGAATGTAACGTGACGTCGACCGACCTTTCGGCCACTTACCATTTAATTTTTAATGTTAGTCTTATGGAATAATGGTCTGATGACTACAGAAGCATTGAACGTCGAATACCAATACGACTTGTGTCATTGGCAATTACACAGTCCAGCTTGAG